AATGGACTCCCTTCTATTTACAACCCTTTTAAATCTGCAATCCGCACAACTCAAGATTCTATTAGCCTGGACACTTTGTATTCGTATCTTTGCAGTGAGGAGATAAATTTAAACAATGAGCAGCTGAAGGATTCTCAGCTTCCGTCTGAGCATTCGGCTCTGTGGACAATCAGATTTAACACCAATCGTGGTCGATCTGCCTCGTGAGGCAGAGGCAGAGGAGCTTCCTTCAGGACAAACAATGCAGGTCCTGGCTTAAACAATTCTCCAGCTGTTCAGCCTATCAGTTATCCTGTTCGAAATCAGTCCAGTCCGTCTGGTGTTCGTCCAACGTGTCAAATATGTGGCATGGTTGGTCATGTTGCACTCAACTGTTGGCATCGGTGCAATATGCAGTATGCTCCAACAAATTCCACGAACCCAGCTCCACCTCCTCTGACGTATCTCACAAACTCTAACAGCGAATTAAATGCACCAGTTACTGAATGGGTGCTTGATACAGGAGCTTCTACTCATCTTACATCTGATGCAAATCAATTACAAATGTCCTCACCATATTTCGGTCCTGATTCTGTCTCTGTTGCAAGTGGTGGAACGTTACCTATCCATCAGTCCGGGCAAGGAATTCTCCCACTTCCTGATACAAATCGTAAGCTGCATCTTAAAAATCTCCTTTATGTTCCATTGCTTTCTCATAATCTCCTTTCCATTCACAAATTAACATCTGACAATAATTGTTCAATCTTGTTTGATTCTCATGGCTTTCTCATCAAGGATCTCTCGGACAATAGTGTTCTTCTTCGTGGCAAAGCACAAGATGGACTCTATCCACTCCGATCCACATCTACCCGTTATCAGTCTGCCTTTCATTCATCCATTGGATCGACTACTTCGTGGCATGCTCGTTTGGGGCATCCAAGTATTAGTACTTTAAGGACTTTAGCTTCTATAGTTCCTACAATATGTACCCCTTCTACTACTTTTGTTTGCTCTTCTTGTAATGTGGCTAAAAGTCATAAATTGCCCTTCTCTTTATCTCAAAGCAATGTAATTAAACTTTTTCAATTAATACACTCAGATGTTTGGGGACCTGCACCTGTTCCTTCTCTAAATGGTTTTCGATACTATGTTGTCTTTATAGATGATTACACTCGTTATACTTGGCTTTATTTGTTACATTCTAAAGACGAAGTGTATTTGAAATTTCAACATTTCTTTCAGCTTGTACAAAATACCTTTAAAACTTCCATTCAAACATTTAGAACTGATGGAGGCGGAGAATATTTAAGTCACCAATTTCGAAATTTTCTACTTCAACATGGAATCACACATCAGTTCAGCTGTCCTTATACCCCTGGACAAAATGGGCTTGCAAAACGCAAGCATCGTCATCTACTAGAAACGACTCGTGCTCTACTTCATGCTTCCAAACTTCCTTTTAAATTTTGGGCTGAAGCTCTCATGACTTCGAATTATTTAATTAATATCCCACCTACTAAAGCACGTAATCTCAACATTCCATATAAACTTCTTTATCATATTCTACCTTCCTACTCGCATCTCAGAACCTTTGGTTGTTTATGTTATCCCTGGCTTCAACCAATCTCTAGCCACAAATTAGCTCCTCGGTCACAAGAATGTATCTTTCTAGGTTATTCTTCCATCCACAAAGGTTATCATTGCTTCAATATTCTTCACAATAAGGTCATTGTGTCTCGTCATGTTCAATTTTATGAGCATATATTTCCTTATTCCTCCACTCCACATACTTCATCCACTGCACCTATACCAACACTTCAAAATCCATTATTACTTACTCCGGTTTCAATTCCCACTCCACTACAGACCTCCCAATCCTTGCCTATAGCTCCTACACAACAAATGCCACATACCAATTCTCCACCTCACTCACCTAATGACTTATCTGCTTCACTGTCTTCCTCCATGCCTGTACCTGCAGACGTTCCTTCATCCTTAACTACCACCACTTCACCTCGTATTCACCACATGTTAACACGACAGAAGACTGGCCATTCCAAACCGAAGGTCATTTTTGATTTGCTCATTGTTCCTTGTTCAACAACTGCTCCGACCTCTTATCATCAAGCACTTAAATCTGAATGTTGGAGACAAGCAATGTCAGATGAATTTCTAGCACTGCAGCAAAAAGGTACTTGGAGTTTACAACCACCGCCAACCAATAAACCCATTTTAGGCTGCAAATGGATCTTCAAACTGAAAACTACATCCGATGGCACGATTGATCGCTATAAAGCAAGGCTAGTTGCACAAGGTTTTGATCAAGAGCATGGTGTCAATTTCACTGAGACATTTAGTCCCGTTGCCAAGTTACCAACCATTCGGCTACTGTTGCTTCTTGCCCTTCATCATAAATGGCAAACTCTTCAATTTGATATCTCAAATGCCTTTTTACATGGAGACCTTCATGAGGAAGTTTATATGAAACAACCTCCTGGCTTTGCCGATACAACTCATCCTCACCATGTGTGCCGTCTTCACAAAGCTATTTATGGGCTTAAACAAGCACCACGTCAATGGTACAATAAACTAACTACTTTTCTCGTTCAGTTTGGCTTCGGTTTCAGCAAAGCTGATCCTTCGCTGCTCATTTATCGCAAGGATTCAGTCCGACTTTATCTTCTCATATATGTGGATGACTTGCTTCTTACTGGTAACCACACTCCTACCATTGACACACTGTTACTACAACTTAAAACTGCCTTTTCTCTTAAGCAACTAGGTGCAGTTGACACCTTTCTTGGGATTCAAATCAAGCGGCAACCTGGTGCTCTCATCCTCCATCAAACTAAGTATGCAACTGATCTCCTACATTCAGCTGGCTTCTCCGGCTGCACACCAGTTTCTACACCTCTTACGCTGAAGCCATCCAAAGTTGCTGCTGCCCAGCAGCCATTTTCTGATCCCAATTTATATCGTCGTTTAGCTGGGTCACTTAATTATCTTACTATTACTCGCCCGGACATTGCCTTCGCTGTTAATTCTATCTGTCAGCATATGCATGCACCTACAAATGCAGATTTTCTTGCAGTTAAAAGGCTTTTACGGTATATCCAGGGAACCATAGCTTTTGGTCTACCATTAATACCCGGCACACTTCAACTCACGACCTTTGTTGACGCCGATTGGGCTTCAGATCCAGCAGATCGTAAATCAGTTACTGGATTCTATACTTATCTAGGCTCCAATCTCATCTCCTGGTGTGTTAAAAAGCAAGTCACAGTCGCTAAATCTTCGACTGAGGCTGAATATAGAGCCCTTTCTTCTGCAGTGTCTGATATTATATGGCTTCGTCGTTTATTGGATGATCTATCCTTACTTCAGTCCGGGCCTACTTCCATTTTTTGTGACAATACTTCAGCTATTGCGTTAGCTAACAATCATGTGTTTCACTCACGCACAAAACATATTGAGATTGACTATCATTTTATTAGTCAACATATACAGCTTAAAGAGGTCTCCCTTCGGCACATTCACTCCAAGGATCAAATGGAAGATATTCTTACTAAGCCCTTATCTCCTCTTCACTTCAACCAATTACGGGACAAACTCACCATTCGCTCCTCCAATGCTGAGTTTGAGGGGGACTGTTAGAGTATATCTGCAGATAGAGATAGCTTATCCAGTTTCCAGTACTTGAGCACTGTTGTGTGAGCACTACCTCTGTGTCCTGTCTTCCTGTCATACTGTCATTAGCGGCTAAGTCAGGATTTGCTCCCCATAATATACTTTATATACTGTAGCTTTGTAAAGCAGGGTTAAGGATGAGAAACGAGGAATGATTCTGAAGCTTTAACTTATCTTCTCTGTTTTTGCTTCCTAACATTTCAATGCAGGATGTTTACACTCTATGCATATAATTGGTGTTACTTATTTATCAGAACCTTATGTAATTATGGAATTGTTTTTTTTTTTTTTTAAGTATTCCAATTTTTAAGTTGATTGTGATAGATTTTGCACATTTTTTTTTTTATTTTGGATCCTTTGCTGGGCAAATAGAGGATCCAAAGACTTATAAAAATTAAATGGACACTCGACATTGATGTAAAATTTTTATTTTTCTCTATTCTTGAATATGGTCATTAGATGTACATTCATTATTTTAGTACTTCACAAGGGTGGATAGCTACTTTCAAGGGTGAGTCTCCTTGTATTGGTATGTGGCCTTGTTCTTTCTATAGGTGATTTTAATTCTTATTCGTAATTTGTTTAGTTGCTTGTTTTGCTTGTGTGATTGGAATTTAGTCAAGTGTGAGATATTCCGGATTTTCTTTTTGAAGAATTAAATTGTTCGTAGCTAAAAATTCATGTTCGGTCTCAATTTTTTTGGGGTAGAATTTAATAATTTTGGTGACCAGTAAATTATCTTGGTTCCAGTCCTATTTAAAAATGCAGGAGAAAGGAAACTTGCTCTTGGTGGTCGTCAATGATAGCTCAGTTAGCTATTCTCTTGGTAGTGACAACTTTTATAGCTTTTGATGCTATGTACTACTTGCTTCTTCCTTTTTAGCTGTGGTTGGCTCTATATTTGAATTGCTATTGTTTACTCTAGTTTGACCATGAGAAATAACCATTAAAAGAAACCCTTAGATCTTTATTGTGCTTGGTTATTGTAATTTATTGTTTACTGTACTTTTTCATCAAACTTCATAAAATTAACTTTAGTTTTTGGGTAAGCAACTGCTCATGGTCATTACGTTGATGGTGTGCCATTTTGTATGCTCTAGTTTATTCCTTTGCCACTGCGAGGTTATGAGTATCCATCTTTTTTATTTCTCCGAAGCAGAATTTCGAAGAAACGGGTAAATAAATAAGAATTGTTGGGCTTCTGAGATAGATTGTTTCTTGTCTTATTATGATTTTTACTCCTCTTCTGTCATTCTCTCTTTGTTATCTTTACCGAACATGCATCTCCTTAATGAAATAGTATTTTTACTTTTTTTTTGGGGGGGAATTTACAGGAAGCAAGCCTAGCAATACCTCTGTTTTCTCCAGTTATAGTACCAATGGCCCAGAGTTTGGGCCCACTCCTAACTCAGCTCACATCATCTCCCAGTATCCGCCGTGGGGTCAGACTTGTATTTCTTGCATTTATGCCTTCAATGTTATGTTCTTTATACTGATTAAGACTTCGTTTGGAATGACTTTCTTACTACTTCATAAAGCAGTTTTCTAATATAAAAATTAAAAATTTTATACTAAAAAGCTGCTTTAAGAAGCAGTAAGAAAGCCGTCCCAAACGAAGCCTAAATTTATTGTTATTGTTGATTAAATGTATGATGCATTGTTTATTCTAGGCTGAAATTGCCATGAGACAGCTGGAGTCTCTTAGTCCTCCAATTTTGAAGCAGGTTCTGCCACTGGTTGAACAGCTCTCACCTCTGTACATGGATCTAGTTAATGGAAGAGAAGACTTTATTCCTAAACCAGAGGAAACCAGCAGACTGGTATGTCTGAACTCTCAATTGTTTGGGGAATCAAACAAACGGTTCCTTTGGTTAATTAACCTATTCTTCTCACAATACTTTCTTACTAACTAATTTTATATGACCTTGACAAACTTTTATTTAAATTTATTATAGTATACTTTCATATGTAAAACTTTCGAGAAGGTTCACTAGTTTACTGGGTGTTCATCATATGCAATTCACGAGGACAGAAATGTCTTTTGAGAACTTGGTCATCTGTGAAATCAATAAACTAATAGATTGAGATCTTCAATTTTAGAAATAGAGGTGGTTGTCCAAACAGAATGTGCTATTTTGGATAACTAACTTTAGCTTTACCTACCAAAAATGTTATTTTATTGCTGAAATAGCTATACTATGAATTAAAAAAAGATTAACTTTGCAGATAAAATCCTACTATGGAATTTCAAGGAATCTACTGATACAGTTCAAGGATGATACGATTGACGAAACTCCAACACTAGCCAAATTGTTAAGCTGTGAATCTGCTATAAGTTCTCAGCTGGACTTGTCCATCCGTTCATTACCTGGAGACCATGGACTTCCACTGCAACAGGTATGTTTCATTTAAACATTTAAAAGAAATTTAATCTCAAGCAATATTTTTTATACATAACTAGAGATGAATATTTAATTATTTTAGATTGATTTAGATTCCTAATTAAGAACTTTTGATAGAGTTGTTTGCCCCTCAACGTTTTGAAACTTTTTCCATTATTATCACGCATAATATCTTATGTTTTTGTTTATTTGTTTTTTATTTTCCTGTAAATTTGCCATATATACAGGTCCTTCCTGATGTTCCTCCTGCAATGGCTGATGCAGTGAACCGTGGAGGTGAACTTCTGGCAAATCTAACTGCTGGAACGCCGTGGGAGTCAGTGGCAAAAGAAATTAGCAATACATTGGGTCCAAATTCAAGTATCCTTCGCACACAGATTTCAAAGGATATTGAAATGCTAGTAGATGTTATCACATCATGGATGTCCTCAAATACAAATCCAAGAATGCTAAGACCCTGAAATGTGTTAGAAGTGAATGGGACAGATAAGAGAAGAAAATGCAATTCGCATATTCAAGGTACATAAGCATTTTGATCAGCAACAAACCAGCTTGGAGAAAATAATGTAAATTTTAGCTTCATCATTGAGATAATCCACTGTAAAAAAAAAAAAAAAACATTTTCTGATTGATTTAGAGTAGATAATTTAAAGGTATACATTGCCTGATCCTTTGTGTCATGTACAAGTTTGTGTTTCAGCTGGTTCTTATTCCAGATCTTTATCAAATCTTGTAACAAAAAACAATCACATCATAAAACAACAATGTAAATTTCCACAATAAATATAGAAATCTGCAAAATAAGCTTCATAACTGTACGTGCTATGTCAGAGTTGTTCACTTCTTTCAACTGTTTGTCTATTTGACGACTTAGGCGTTCTTTGAGATAGATTTCTTACTGCTTTCTAAAGCAATATTCTAGTACAAAAGTAAGACTTTTGAAAGCAATTAAAAAGCTATCTCAAACGTAAGCCATAGAAGACATCTCATTAGTCATGGAAATATATCAGGATCTGTGGCAGTATAGTCCTGGAACTAAATATTTTATGAGATGTTTGAGATAGTACTTCTTGAATGTGAGATTATTAGATTTTTTATATTCATATTTTTTTCTCATTTATAATTTACACCCTCCCGGTCAGAGCTTCAAAAGGGAGAAAGAGGCTTGAGCGAGTATAGCTATTGGGAAGGGCATCAGGAGTTGCTATGGAGAAAGGAGAGAGGTAGATTTATGAGAAGCTCTTAGAAACCTGAAAGCAGGAAGAATCGAGGAAAGCCTTTTTCCTCACCAATGATGATAAGTAGTAGCATATTTTCTTCTTGATTCAAGGCAGACATCTATTTTCAAAGCAGTAACTTCTGCACATCTTCCCATGCATGAATAATGCTTCGTTTGGGGCGACTTTCTTTCTGCTTCTTAAAGCAGCTTCCTAGTACAAAAATTTTAATTTTTGTACTAGGAAGTTGCTTTAAGAAGCAATAAAAAAACTGTCTCAAAAGAAATCCTAAATCTTTAATATATTTTCTTTTAAAGTTTAGTGGATTATTTTAGTCTCTACTACACGATCATAAAAGTTGGTGGATTTTATTAAAGCATACAAGTTTTTTTTATCTTTTGTGTGTGGTTGATCTTATTTATAATTACTTTATAACCTATCATATTTATTATTAATGTTTTTTACTTTCACAATTAAAGTTAGGTGCACTCTACTTTCCTAACAACTGATATCATAGTAAAGGTTTATAGAACTACAATTGCTATGAAGATTTGGAAGTTTGGGTTAAAGAGCTTTGGAATATGAAAGATCAATATACAGGGTTTTTTGGTCCAACAAGTTTGGGTACAAAATACTAATGGGACAATAAAAAATGCCTATGATAATGAGTGAACATGACAACAACAATATCAAGCTTCTATCCCACTAAGTGGGGTCAGCTGCATATATCATTTTTCTCCACTGCCCTATTAAGTTTTAAATTCTCATTTAAATATAATAAAATGATTATTTCTAATATAAAAAAAGGATGAGAAGGCTCTCTTAACAATTTAGCTATATTTGATAGATGTGATTGTGATAAAAGTCTTAAAGGAAATAACTACTAGAGCTTTATGTCTAATGCCATACTTTTTATATATAACCCAGAGCCTCTACAACAAATTATATCAAAAGCAAAGGTTGAATTTGCCTCGGTAGAACAATCACATCATGTATGAATTGAGTTTAATTCTATCATTTACAATTTGATAAATATATGTGGTTATTGAAAATGAGAATTAGACATTATTATTATTGTGCTTTTTACCCTCTTACAAGTACTTTCATGATGCTATGTTGTGCAAATGTGATATATAAAGTGATTGTTATGATTGAAAGAGTTGATAAATTTACTAAAGTTTTATTATATATTAATAGGACTTCATATGTGCGAGGGCCTCCTTACAATCATTATTGAAGTATGTCTTATGGAAAATTCAAGAAGATTGGATTATTTATAGTGAGAACAAATCCCATGTTAGTGGAATTATTTAACCTTAAAAATGAGAGTAAGAAGCATATGAAAAGCATAAGAAGATGTTATCAAATGTAAGTATAGTTTTGATGTAGCATATGGAAGTGGACCGATTACTAGGGCAAGGGCAAGGACTTATGAAGCTCAAGCCATGAAGGATAAGAACAAAAGCAAGAGCACATGATGAAGATGTTATGCATTTAATTTCATGTTTTGTGTATTTTCATGTATTTGCATTTATTTGATGTTGTAAGTATTATGTGGATTTCATGTTAATGTAATTTTCTTTGTTAGAACCATGCTAGTATGGATGAGAGAAAGGTGGTGGTTATTAGTGGGCCTAAGCAAGGGGCTAGCCCCTCTCCCTCCTTCCCTTCCTTTATTTTGATTTTAAAATGAATGGATTTATCTCTTTACTTTGTTTTCTGTTGTATAAAATATTCGCAGACTAAAACAAAGATAGATTTAATTTTCGTACTCATTTTTGTAAAAAAAAATTAAGTGGCTTGGAAGCTTGGTGGCCGACCATACTCAAGGAGATTAGGTGACTCCTTGAACCCCTTTTTCGGTGAGTCGGTTTCTTTTCTTTCTTGCACTTTTATTTAATAAAATTTTCTTTTTTTTTGTGCTCTTATCTTAGTATTCCATCTTTAAAATAATCCCAAATCCCATTCCACCACTTTTAATCCAAGTAAAATTTCCCATAGTTAGTGTTGGCTAGGCTTTCTAGAATTGCTTGCGCAGTTCCATTCTTGAAAGAATTTCACTAATCTAAAATACTCAAAACCCCAGTAAAATCTATACATAGAGGCTAATGTTATGTGTATATATCTATAGGAGTTTTTATGTCCACTGGTTTAACTTGCAAAGGATGCCACTTTCTCCAATATAATGAGTGAGAAATTTAGGGTAAATCGGGCCACTACACTCTTAAATCCTTACATAAGACAAACCACTTCTTTCAATCCAAACCATAAGCCTTCCCTGTTCGAGAGTATTCTTCCTCTAGTAACTAGTTTTAAATTTGAATGGTTCCTCTCATATTACATTCAATGCATCAAAACTTCATTTTTCTCAGCCATACTCTAGTTCCTCTAAGGTGCAAGTTAAAAATAATAAAACACTTTATATTACCAATATTGATTAGGATATTGTTCCAAATTAATAATGTTAACCTCATTTTAGATAAGGTCATTGAAATATCAAACCCTAAAATTCATTCAATCTAACACTATATTACCATAGTGTTGCATGACTTCATCAAGCAATAGGAACTCAGCCCTAGTTCTCCTACCTTAGCCTGTCAATCACCTATTCAAGTCTGCTCAATCATATATCCAAATCCTTCTGATTAGTCAATATCAGTATAGGACCATCCCTAAGCAAATAAAGGTAACCTAAGACCTTAGGTCCAATCCTAGTTAATTGTATTTGACCATATGATGATATTATATGCCCCTCCATGCTTGAATTACCTTGCCTTGAGTTTGGTGACTAGTCTAATTGATCTATACTTAGCCATTGAACTCCAAGCTCTTCAAAGTGTATCTAAATATTCCTAAATCATTTCAAACCTTGAAGCATTCCTTGGTTGACCCAAGAATCAAAGTAAAACATGGATCCATGCACTACATGCCTAGTAGACTGCATCATACGTAACACTTGCCTGTTGACTTCAAAACCTACCCGAACTCTCACCCTAGGAGCTTCATACATTAAGCTCCTCAAATCTAGCTCTCAAGCTAGGGTTTGACCTAGTCAACAAACTTGAGCTAGGTCAAACTAGCTCAATTGGTCGAACATATGCATTAACCCTCTATAGCCTCTTTAACTCTACATAAAATCACTCAACTGAATTTATGAAAGCTCCTAAAGTGTCACACTCATGTGGTCCACATTCTTAGATTAAAGGTTGACTTAATCAAGTCAACCAAAACTGGTAAAATCAGTCTAGCCTAAGTTGTCTTTGTATGCAATCAATTAGCCAACCTTGGTCACTTAAACTGAATATACTTCTTAAATATGCTTAAACCATGGCCTAGTCATTTCATGTTGAGTTGGCCTTTTCAAATCATGAGAATTGGTCAAACCTAGGCTAAGCTTTGTATCACCCATGCAAATACTAAATCCTCTAAACCTAAACCTCTAATCTTGGCCTAATTAACCTCTAGAGACTCCTTAGGGTTAGTTCTAAGTGCCTTGATCATGTTTAACTAGTCAAAGGGGTAAAAAGACCAAGTTTGGTCATGTATGGTCAAACCCCATCAACACTCCACTTCCTTCAACACCAGCATTTTTAGCTCGCTAAAATGGATTTCTAGAACCTTTATGGACCCATTTAAACCCAGCCCAAGGGCTGGTTTAGCTTGGGCTTGACCCATATGGGAAATTGACCCCAAGTCATTTTTGGCTTTACTGGCCACTCCCAGCTCTAGAAACTATTCCTTAAACATTCCTAGACATCTAGCAATATTTTAAGCTATCACAGTAATCAATGACATCATTTGGATTAGCCTAAACCTAATAAAACCATTAAATGGACTACACTTGAAACCAAACCGCTCTCTAATGAAGATCATATTTTATTTTTCTTCTCTAGACCTCTCTATATATCCCCACTCAAAATCCAAGCATTTGGAGGTCATTATAGAGAAGAACAAGTCAGCTCTATCAGCTTCTCCATCCCAAGAGATCTTACTATCTCTTTGCTGCTTCTCTAGCCATGAATTCTTAAGCAAACCTTCCCCACTGAAGCTAAAATAGAGAATAAGATCAAAATCCATTCCTAAAACTCAATAGAAAGAGGCAATACCTACATCCTAACTTAAAACCTAGCTAAGGTTTTTTAATTTTCATTCAATTCATTATATGAAGCCCTCAAGCTTAATACAATGAGTTTATTCATGTAGAAGACTTTGTGAATGATTTTAGGCATTAAAATCTATTATATAAATAGTTTAAAGCAAAATGAAAATCAGTCCTTCTATTTTCTAGAGGAAGAAGTTGAAAAATGAACCATCTAGCTTGAGTAAATTAACTCAAATGGTTCAAATTTCATCTTATTAACCCTCTGTTTGACTCTCCAGATCGAGTGATTGAGTGTATTAAATCTCAGTCATTCAATCAATTCAGCGCGGAATCGAATGGCCAACATTTAAGCTGATGTGGATACATTCTATCTCCCACCAAAACAAGCATCCAATGGCTCTCCGCCACCTGGAAACCATAGGCTGAGTTGGCACTGCCACTAACAAATGCTTTAAATTGATATATTAAATACTTTTTAATGCCCAGAGCTTCAAATACTAATAATAAATCATTCATAGACCTAAAATACATGTTCTAGGGCTCTATGGATAGAAAAGCTTTGTATATTAAAATTAAAATATAGTGGATTGGTTGAGTGTATCTTAAGTAATTTAATTTTAAATGCCCACTAAAATTTTTATTTATTATTCCCTATACACTCATCGAATTAGCTTAAAATTTGGCTGAGAGATTATAGGATGTTGCCTACATCTCATAATTTTCTTAGGCCTAGTTGAAGCCCCCACTATCATGACTTATTTTTTCAATTAAATGGGTTAGAATTTGACTTAGATATTTGAAAAGTCATTTTAGACAATTCATATAAAATTTTGGTTTGATTTTTCTATGGCTTGTTTTTATTATAAGGGTTAGAAACACTTGATTGCAAACACCATTGAACAATAAAGCCACATAAGTAAATCAACTTAGGTTTAAGGTTTCATAACTTAAAAAATTTATAGGAAACTCATTTCAATTCCAATTGGGATGAAAATGAAACCTATTAAACTTAGTGATATTTTAAATCCAAGGAATTAATTTGGTAGCAATTTGGGTTGCATTACTTGTAAACTTCACAAACCATAATTTCAACCGCAATTTTTGGCTTAAAATTGTAAAATTCATAACTAAATAAATATCAATGGTAAAAATATAAAATAAATTGCATTGAACCACAAATTGAATATATAATCAAATAAAAATAAAATTCCATTAAAACATCATTTTAAATAACCTTAATTATAACTTATTAATTAAAGTAAATCATATAAAATCATCCTTTGATCCAATTGACCACAAATTCTTCTTGATTGTACTTAGAGTCACACTTGACCTATAATATCAATCATTTGATCAATTAAGGTCATTTGATGAAATAATTGCATAACCCCAAGTTCCTTCTATATGAAGGAATTAAATAAATTATCAAACTTCAAAATTTCATACTTAAATAAATATAAATCATGAATAAAAATAATCTAAATTGATAATTAAAATTTCATACAATTCTAAATAAATAGTATAATACATGAAAAATAAAATTAAAATCTAATCATATTAAATTCCAAAGTCACACTCTGGTCAAACCCACCATTAAGGATTTATAAATTCAATAATCCAATGAACAAAAAATAAAATAAAATATAACAAAATAAAATTAAATAAATTAAAAATAAATAATAAAATAAATTTATTAAGAATTCAATAAAAATAAAATCTTCTTTTTTATTTTTTATTTTTTTGAAAGGTTGAATTATGCATTTTATAGCATGTCTAAAGAAACCTTTGCAATGGTAACAACCAGATAAGCTAACCTAGTACAAATCCTCTAGGAGAAGATAAATGCATTAAAATTATGAGCCTTAGAATTTGATGATTTTTAACTTCAATTCTCACTTAAAGTTATTCATAATCAAGATTCTACATAACTTAAAATTAAATAACTCTAACTATTAAAATAAAATTTATTAATAAAACATTATGACATTAAGATTTAAATTCAAATTAAAATCTCCTTTAATATGTAATAAATAAATAAATTCACATATAAATAACTCAAACATAAAATCCCTTAAGGTATATCAAAGCCACACATACTCGGTGCACATTTTAGAATTTACTTGCTATAACAACCAACTTTGATCTAGACTAGGCTGGTGATTATTTACTTATGCTTTAGTGTTCTAACATCTTGTACTCAAACTACTTCATCTTCTCTTAGTTTAGCTGTTTATCCTTTTGTTAATGTTTCTTCACATCTCTCTTCCTCTACTACTTCTTCTCCAACTTCTAATTCTTCTTCTTCTACTAGTTCTTATGTTGTTTCTCCTACTCAATTTGTCTCACAACCAACACTTCCTTATCATTCCATGCTGACTAGATTTCATACTGGCCATCTCAAATCAAAAACTATTTTCAAGATGTTATATGCAACTATTTCTATTGATCCTTCATGTGTTTCCCAAGCCATGTAGCATGTAGTTTGGTACTCAGCCATTTCTAAGGAGTTTGAGATATTACAAAAAAGAAAAAAACGTATTTGGACTCTTATTCCTCATAAATCAAATCAAAATAATTTAAAATAAAAATCTTTCTACTACTTGATTTAAAGAACATTTAATTGCTTAATGATATAAACAAGAATTTGGCTTAGATTATAATGCCATTTTCATTTCAGTTGCTCAATTTTCCACCATCCAAATATTATTCATTGATTCTATCTCTTATAATTGGAAAATTCTTCAATTAGATGTTTCTAATGTTTTCTTTTATGGGAAACTTGATGAAACTATATACACATGCAACCACCTAATTTTCAAGATCCATAATTTCCTAATCATATTTCTTTGCTTAATCAAGCTATTTATGAGTTTAAATAGTTGCATCGACAATAATTTTTTGCCTTCTCATTGCATTTATTGCATTATGATTTTACATAAGCAATGTTGATCCTTCATTTTTATTTTATCATAAAGGATTCACTATTCCTTACACATTTGTCTAAGTTTGTGACATTTTACATACTAGTAATGATGATAAATTAATTGAAGCTCTTCTTCTAGATCTACAAACCCAATTTCTTATGTGTAATGTTGGATATGCAGCTTTTCTTGCTAACATACAGGTTAGCGAAACTTAAGCCAAACTTTATCAAAATCAATCATGTTATGTGTCTAAAATTCCTAATAAGGATGATGTTAAAGATTGCAAATTGGTGATGAGTCTTTTGCTCACCAAATTATTAACCATTGGTACTACCGAATGATATTCTCAGCTTGAATTTATCATCAAATAGTACGTTCCTTACAAGATTTTACAATTACTTGGATGGTCATTTCCTTTGATATCAATCAACTTTGTCTGCATATCCAAAGACCTTCAATTTATCATTTTCAAATGCTAAAATGAATTCTACATTGTCTTCATGGAGTAATGCATGTTGGTTTGCCTATCTTTTGTGCACGGCTTGAACTATTTGCCTACTCCAGTTCTTACTGGGTTGCGAATAAATTTGATCGTCGCTCCACTATAGAATATTGGGCTTTCCTTGGAACAATAGTTTTCTATTGTGTCAAAAAGCAAACTATTATTGATTTATTCATTAATTTAGATTGAATATGAGGCCTACAACTATTGCTAGTGATGTTATTTAGTTATGATTATTACAACTTGAATCAAGGTTCCAATTCATAAACCTACTCGCTTATCCTATAATAATATTGAGCTCTTTCTTTGACAGATAATCCTATTTTTCATGCTAGCGTCAAACGCACACGCGCGCGCGCGCGCACACACACACATATATACATTGAAATTTTTCATTCAGCTTTTTCCCTTATTTGTTTTCTGCTATGCTGCTAATATATACCTGCAAGTTATGAAGCTTTAATTCTAACAAGTTTGAAGCTTTATTGACATGATTGGACTATATTTGAATACACTCAATCCATGGTTAAATTATATTTGAAGGTATGATTGTACTGATTTTTCACTGAGTTAAGACGATTGTAACTCATTATTCGAACTCTGTTTGAACATTGTATGAATCAAGAACAAGCAACAAAGTCCTTGATGCCATGAATCATGTTCGATTATGTTTTAATTAGGTTTAGACATAATTTACTCGGATGTTTCAACATATTCTGTGTGATAGAAAATGACAAAATCTATGTTAAATAATAGAAAATGAAAAAAAAAAAATCTAAAATTCGAAATAATAGTACCCATATATACTTAAATCATTGATGAACAAAGAAATATCTAAATTCATTGTGGATGAAACTCGGACAAAAATTTGATGATGACAATAATAAATGACCTATGCCAGCTATGAATATAATAAGAATATTTTAAAATGAGATTTTTTTTTTTGAAAAAATTTAAGACATTAGACAAATTCATCACAAAGAGGAAAATTATAGAAAGGGTTAAAACCCCTGTTTGCACCTGTAGAAGCAACGGGTCAACATTAATCGTCGATCGGTTTCAGTTCTGGGCTTGGCACAAGGCCACAAGCAGCCTTCTGATCCGCTTTTGAGACAAGGTAAGGAGGAATAATGGCGTGGAGAGGTCATCTTTCTCGTAGTGTGAAGGAGCTTCGCTTTCTATACTGCCAGACTTCGCCTGCTAGTCTTCCAGCTCGGTATTCCCCAATCTCTCCTTTTAATTTCGAGTCTAGGGTTTGCCAATTTTGGATTTTTCTGCCATTCGTCGATTAACGAGGTAATAATCACAAGGTTATATGCAGGGAATTTGTACATCGAAACTACAAAGATCTGAAGACCCTAAATCCAAAGCTTCCTATTCTGATCCGAGAAACCAGTGGAGTGGAGCCTCAGCTTTGGGTCAGATACGGTAATTTCATACTCAGTCTGTGATTCGTCTTTCTAATGCGAGTGAATGACTCTGCATGATGCCAAGGCAGGCTATTATTGGAGCATTCTGATGGATCTTAGTTTGTAATTTTCGGAATCCAAGAAAAACAGTCCAAAAATGGTGGAAAAATGCGAAATTTCTTGGATGAAAACACTCACAAACACTTCAATAACTTGAATATCAAAAGACTTACAAGTTTTCACGGATACAATGCTCTCACTTCGAGAAGAGAAGCTTTCTCCCAAGCCCTAGATTAGAAAGAAAGCTAAAACAGCCACCAAATAAGATCCCTCCAAAAAGCCACCCTAACTCACTTTTAACTCTCACATAAACCCCTCAAAATACCCTAATTACCCCTAGGGAAAACACCTCATTCTTCCTCTTCAATTTGGTGGCCCCCTTGGGCCCACCCGACTCCTGGTTCCCCTTCGGCAGTCCGCCCAGGCAGGCGGGTTCTCCGCCTGCAATAAGTGAGAACCGGCCCTTTTTTGGGCCGGTGCTGCTATGGACCGGAGCGGTCCATCATCACTTCCCGACCAAAGATTAACCTTGTCCTCAAGGTTGAAAGCAGGAAACTGAGCTTGTATGATCTCATAGGTCTCCCAAGTTTGTCATGTGTCGGGTAGATTCTTTCCACTCAATCAAAACTTCCTTCCCTCCTTCCTCAGTGTGTCTAACCCCTTTCATGCAGAAGACTCTAATAGATTTGTACCATCTTCAGACAATGTTGCGTAAGTATCGACTGGTAACATGAACTCCCTTGAACTTCTTCAACTGTGACACATGAAAAGACTGGAGATCGTAGTAGTGGGTGGTAATTCAGCGATATGCTACATTCTCATCTTCTGGCTCTACTCATAGGGCCATAATACCTCGGGCCAACTTAACACTTAGCTCCTTGCAAAGTATTATGCTGTAAGGCCTCAACTTCAAATAAAAAATTCCCAATCTCAAATTGAACTCCTTCCTATATGATCTGTTGCTGCTTCATGATGTTCTGGCTCGTAAAGATGTCTTCAGCTTCCCCAAATCTCATCCTTTCGGACAATTGTCTCCACTAAGACACTGATGTAGATGAGGCCTGTACTGTATCGGGTTGCAGGATCCTCCATAAAGCACCTGAAAGGTGTGACCTGCGCCCTTATGAAATGAAGTGTTATAACCATATATCAGCCAAGGTAGCCACCTTCCAATGCTTGCTTCTCCCTGCAAAACATCTAAGGTAGTTCAAGTACTCTATGATTACTTATTATGACTACTCAGATTGCCCATCTGTCTGTGGGTGTAGCTGAACTGCGCTCAAATGTGTCCCTTGTGCTGAACATCTCCTTCCAAAAGTGCTCAGGAACATTTATCTCTGTCGGAGACTATCGACTCAGGAAGCCATGAAGCCTCACATCTCACGGATGAAAATTGTGCAACGGTAGTGCATTAAAAGGATGTCTCAAACGGTATGAAATGAGCATACTTACTAAGCGATCAACTACAACTAGAATGACAGTGTAGCCTTCGATTGGTAAGCTTCGATGAAATCCATGTCACCTCTGACAAACCTGATCAGTAACTCAAGTGCTGCAACAGTCCTCAGGGGCCATATGCTTGATACTTGTTCCTCTGACAAGTATCACACTGGGCCACCATTTCCTCCACATCTTTTCTCATCCTTCCAGTATATTCTCTACCAACCTTTGATAAGTTTCTGCCTCCTGAATGTCCTCCATAGCACTGGCATGAAATCCTGAAGTATCAGTGGAATCTGGGAGAGTCCTAGTAAAACTAACCTTCCTCTGTGTAGCAAAAGCTGGACCTCCCTGTATATCTG